AAAAAAAACGAAAACTGAGAAAAGGAAATACTAATATTATGACTGAGCAACAACAAAATAATCAATCAACTATTAGTATTAAAGACACTAAGATTGCTGATATGGAAAATGTTGAAGATACAATAAGTAGAATAGAAGGGTTACCAGGAATAGTTGCAAAAAAAATATTAATTTTAGTAAAGTATTTATGGATAATAATACCATGTTTATTAGTAATAACATATGTGTTGTGTGTGTATTTTATTATGAAATATTTTTATTTCAATTGGTCATGGACTGAAAGATTATTTTGGTTTTATTTTGAATTACATTACACATATTATCAAATATTTTGGTCATTCTTTAAATGTCATTTTGTTCAACCTAAAGAAATTGATTTAGGATATGAAAGAAATTTATTATATGATAGTGAAGAAGTATGTAGTATATGTAATAAACCAAGACCTGCAAGAACACATCATTGTGGATTTTGTAAACGATGTATAACAAAATATGATCATCATTGTTCATGGATGAGTGCATGTATTGGATATCATAATGCAAAATATTTCTTTTTATTTATGGTAGGATGTTTTAGAGGAATGTTAATTTGTGATACTCATTTATGGTATATTTGGAAAATGTATTACTCAAATGATACTTTTCCATTTTGGACTACATTAATATTATCATTATTCTTCTTTAATATTACAATGGTAATGATTCTTCAAGTTCTATTAAATAGTATTTGTTTTTCACTCAATTTAACAATGATGGAACTTGTAGTTTATTTAGGACAATGTTTTAAGAATAAAACCATTTTTATTTCATTACCATATTACAAATCATTATCTGAAAATTGGCATGAAGCACTTCATCTTCCAAAACATTTACCTATTATTTTAGGCTTCATTCCTTATGACTTTAAGAATAAAGAACATCAAGAATAATTTATTTGATTTACTAAAAACAAAAATTTTTAATTATTAATTAATTATCTTCATCATCAAGATCCATATCTTTCAATAACATATTCTTATAATCATTAAAGTCTCCATCAAATCGTTCTACAGTACCATTTCCTTTAACAACCCAAATTTCTTCACATGCAGATTCAATCATATGTTGATGATGTGAAATTAATACTAATCCACCTCCAAAAGTGGATAATCCTTCAATTAATGATTCAATTGAGTCTGCATCAAGATGATTTGTAGGTTCATCAAGAAGTAATAAATGTGGTTTTTTCCAACAAATTTCAGCAAAAACTAATCTACTTTTTTGACCACCTGATAATGTTTGTATTTGTTGTTTTGGAGTATCTCCTTTTAATCCAAATCTTCCAAGGAATTGTCTAATTTCTTGAATTTGAGCTGATGGGAATGTTTTTTGCATATATTCTATAGAAGAAATATCCATAGGTAATTGGTCAACATGATGTTGATGGAATCTACCAATTCTTAATTGTCTATCACGAGTAATAAATCCTGTTGTTTCTTTTAATTCTCCATCAATTAATTTCATTAATGTAGATTTACCTGTTCCATTTGGTCCAACTAATCCAATTCTACTTTTAAGATAAATTCCAAATTGTAAATCTCTAAAAATTGGTTGTTTTGCTCCTTCATATTTAAATGAAACTTCATCAAATTGAACAGCACAAGTATCAAAATCTCCTGGATCAGGAAATTCAAATACAGGTGCTTTTCCTTCTAATTCTTTACTTGCTTTTTCTTGTTTTGTTAATTGAACTTTTACTTTTTTCTTTTCTTCTCCTTTTTTCTTTGCTTTTTGTTGTTCTGCCTTTTCGATTCTTTTTTTCTTTTCATCTGAATTTTTTTTCATTTCTAATGCTTTTAAGAAACTACCATAATCACCTCTATATGTTGTTAATGTTTGATTAGTAAAATGAACAATATGATCACATACATTATTTAAAAATGATGTATCATGTGAAACAAGTAATAATGATTTTTTCCAATTCATTAAATAATGTTCTAACCAAATAACTGCATTTAAATCAAGATGATTTGTTGGTTCATCTAAAATTAATAAATCTGGTTGTAAAAATAATGCCGTAGCTAATGAAATTCTCATTCTCCATCCTCCTGAATATTCTTTAGTTGTTTTAGTTTTCATTTCATCTTCTGCAAATCCAAGTCCTTTTAATATTTTTAATGCTCTTGGTTCTGCTTTACTTGCTTCAATTTCTTTCATTCTTTCATAAATATCATTTAAATCATATGGTGGTTCTATATCTTCTTCTTCTATACTTTCTTCATGTTCTTCATTTTCTGGTTTTTTATCTTTTTCTGCTAATAATCTTTTTTCTTCATTAATTAACCATAATCTTTCAATATCTGCTTGTAATACTGTTTCTAATGGTGTTAATTCATTTCCTGGAACTTCTTGTTGAACATGTAAAATTCTAATATTTGCTGGAATATTAGCAAATGGAGTACCACTTTCTCTTCCTGAAATTGCACACATTAATACTGATTTACCAATTCCATTTTTTCCAACTAATCCATATTTTGATCCAAATCCCATTGTTAATGATGAATTATTAAGAAGAACTTTTCCTGGTACTTGTAATGTAAAATTTTCTATTTTAATATCCTTTGCTTTATCTTTATTACTACTTGAAAATGATGTTCCTTTTAAAAATACATAATCTGGCCATGCTTTACTTTCTGTTCCTTGTTTTCCAACTGAAACAATAGCACTATCTTTTGATCTTGTATTATATTTAACTTCTCCTTCTTCATTAACAAGTGGTGTAATATCATTTCCTTCTTTTTGAAGAGTTTTAGACTTTTTTGTATTTTTTTCTCCTTTAACTCGTTTAACTTTTTCTTTAGTTACTTTTTTAGCTTTAGGCATTATTATATTGTTATTTCTCAGTTATATTTCTCTTTTATTTCTTACTTTTTAGGGTTGT